CTTTTAATACAGTTTTATTTTAGACAAAACAAAGCCAAACAAACTTGAAAAAGTATAGCAAAAGCGTATACAAACAATTGATATATACGGCGGCGAGAATGTAGATAGGGAAAAGTCATTTTAGCAAGTTTTGGCAACTTTTTTTGTTTACAAAATGTTTATTATTCTTTTATGAAAACATAGCTCACTATCTAAAAAAAACCTTCTAGATCAAAATTTCAAACTTTGTAGAATATTTAAAAAAATTAGACGAATTTTAACAAATGTTGATCAAAATTTTAAACTTTTAACCCGATTTTTAGCCCATTAAATTTCAGTATAACAAAGTGCACATTCGAAGTAGCTTGGGCTTACTGTTGATTTTTGGCAATTTTTTGTTCGCGCATTTGTATGTAAAGTATGTTCGAAAATTTTTTTGTTTGGAGAAAATGTGCAACATCTTCCACAAAAAAAAAAATCCAAAAATCAATCGTAAGTCCCAGCTACTTAAAATTGCCACTTCGTAAAATTAAATTGCCTACAAAACTGCATATCTACTCAGAATCTTTCTTCGAAATCTAAATAAATAGCTCAAAATTTTGATGAAACTTTGTACTAGTTTTTGTACAAAGTTTGATTTACATGGGTTTTGTTATATAACGAGCTACACTACTAAGAATACTAAAATGTCTCTTCTCTATTTACATATATTTTGGCCACTATATCTGCAGCTTAAATTTTTCAAATCCACGAATTTTTTAAGGGAATTAGTATTATTTTTTATTATTTCTCTAAATTCAAGCTAGAATCGTTTCATTAAAAAAAAACAAAACTTAACAAACAATTATAAAAACCTTAAGAAAAATTTTGAGAGAATGATGACTGCTGTAAAGCAAGAGTACCAGTTTGACAGAATAAAACATAATCAAAAATCATAGGAAATGAGGATGCTGGCTATGTTTGTGGCTGCATTCTAATTATATTATATTATATTATCTTTGAGATAACGAAAGTGCTGCCACGTTTGTACGAAAAATTTTTTTTGATTCAGAGTACAGGAAGACGCTTGTAATTAATAAGGAAAACACTGAAATCGGGATTTAATCGGTACAAATATGAAAAACCGGGACACTTATACGTCCCGACTTTTAAAAATATTCTCAAAATCGTTACTGTCCCGCCAAAATCTGAACGAATGGTCAATGTAAGTATGACATGCCTTTTGGAAAGTTTAAATAAAATAAACTTTTCGTTTTGTTAGAAAAATTTTAGCAGAGCAAAATTTCTTAGTGGAGTACTTAAAAAGTGAGTAAGCGGCAAGTGTTTATTCTTTACTTTTTATCTGAATATCAGTCGGAGTCCAATATTCGCTATAGCTAATTTTGTTAGCCAAAAATCTCTAAAAGAATAGCAGGCGAGCCTAACAACATGCACAACCTAGTTGCATGCCTCTCATACCGCCAGAGTTGGTTGATTTCACTTTTAATCTGCTGCTTTTTCAAGTACATAACTACACCTCATTGCTTTTCATTTGGACAATTTTGGCGAATTTAGCATAGAAAATTGTATGCAATTTTAATTTCAGGATCATGAAACCAGATATGTCTCAGATTTCAACAAAGAAGCACATACCAAAATAATTTTGAAAACATAGAATATGTAATAAAAATAAAGCCAACATCTGAACTTTAATAAGTGTCGTTATCCTTCAGAATTTCCCAGATTTTTAAACCAATTCGTTTTTTTTTCTCTAGTTGCACTAAAGACGTTAATCAATTATGTACATATACATACATAAATAAATACGTGAACTTATTTGGAGATTTGCCAGAGCAAATCGCTCAAAGCAAGCAAACAAAGTAAATATGCGTTAAATTGAAAGTGAATACGCCCAGCAACAGCCAGAAAACGCTTAAGAAACAAACGGCGAAGTAGGCGCAGATACATACAGTGTTTGAAAAAATAATAGAAACAAGCAATATGATGATTTATGCTTGCAAAAATCTGCATATGAACCGATAACAACAAAAGCATTTACTAATGAAAACCAGGTAAACTACGCGAATAACATAAGCAGATAATATCATTTGTATGCATGTGTATAAACAATAAACAAACATTTCTACCTTGAAATTTAGTTTTGAATTTATTGTTGTAAAAAGAAAATACATACTCAAGTGGTTTTAATGAACAAGGGGCAAAAATGAATCAGTGCGAAATATTAGTTAAAAAACAAATAAATTTAGAAAAAATTACTGAAAGCAAGACATATTGCAGAAAAATATTCATACTGGCTATATTAAAAAAAAAAAAGAAGAGGCATAGGCGCTTGTGAGAACAAATTAATGTTCCGGGATGCTTCAAAGAATCCCTTCTGAAGTGCGGATAAGCTAAGAAATAATATGTAACCTTACTTAATTTAGTTATACAATCAGAAAAAGGCCTAATGAGGAAAAGACCAGACATATTGTTTTAGGAAACAAAAATAGAAAAAAGTAAATAGTCTCTTAGTTTTGTCGCAAAAAATAATATTTTGTCTTTATGAAAATAAACTTTTTGGCCTGATTAGCCGGCAGTCAAAGTCATTGTCTGTGAGCAACGTTTAACGCAGTATTCGCAGGCAATTTTGTCGAAGTTATGAAGGTGTTTAAAATAATAAAATTAACAAAAAATATTAATTTCAATAAAATATGGAAAATTACGTGCTTAATTATTTGACAGACGTATTTTTTAATTTTGTTTTGGTGAGAAAAATACATACATACTTTTCTGCATTACCTTTGTTAATTTTTTTCTTAAAAATGAAATTTGATTTACAGCCGGTTTTACGAAATGTTTAAATTGTAATTTAATCCAATTTTATTTTAATTGTAGTTTTCCTCAGTTTCACCGATATTTCAATTTGACATGTGAAAAGTTCAAAATCGGACAGGCATTTTAGTAAGTAATAACAGCTGTTTCCAACAAATAAAGCCAGGCTATTAAGCAAGCTGTTTAAGAAAAGCCAAATAAATCTGCATTTCAAACTTTGTACTAAATTTGCAAAAAAAGTTTAATCAAAATCTCAAACTTTTTAATACTCAAATTGCTGACGTGAAACCGGCCGTAAACTCTTAAAACGTCCTTAGGCCATCAAAAACGTATTAAAATTAGCAGTTTTGAGTTTAATTTGAATTTCATTTTATGATTTACCAAAAGGATTTTTTTGTATGCAATCTTAATACTGTCAGTAGTGAATTATTTACCATTTAGAGGGAAGAACTCAAGAAAGAGGGGAGCAGAAAGGCAGTTTACTATTTTAGACGGTCATAAAAATTCAGTCTCTATTATAACGGTTAAAAATTATCAAAAACATAAGAATTATTCTTGATCGAAAAAAGCAAAATCACAAAATAGCGAATAAATTTGACCGAAAAAATAAAAATCCCAATTTAACGATTACTCTTGATAGAAAAATTAAAAATTAATTTTTAAGCAAAAAAAAAAACACCGGCTTCCATTCTTTTATAAAAATTTAGGAGTACTGATAAATTCCCCATGATCCAATTGTTGGGTCGAAACCAGGCCAGATTAGTATGCGACCACCCCTGAGATACCCCCTTTCCGATAAAAAATGAATTATCGAAATCGGTTCACGTTGTACAAGGTTACATACATGAAAAAAAAAATAAAAAATATTCTGACGAATTGAAATTAACCTCCTTATTTTTGTGGTTAAAACAAATGTATTCCAAATTTTTTAATAAAACCACAAATTAAAAAGCGACCTCCCTGGTCGTCAAGGGTTAAGATGGTTTTTCCAAAAATGTGGGAAATCATATGGCAATCCATAAAAAATCATATTTTTTTCAAACAAACTGCTTTTTAGCCATGGATATTTTTTGTCAAAAAAGTGTGTCAAATTTCCCATGGGGCTTTGGTCTGATTTTCTGCGCATTGTCTGATTTCATACTACAGAACTGACAGAAATGAACGTAGAAATTAAAAACGTGTGTGACAAAAATATAACTTATTTACTTCTTATCAAGTTTCGTAAGAAATAAAGCTATTTATCTTCTTTAACATTTTAAAAATTATAATTTTTCATTTGCAAAATTACCATCCATATTTCCTTTTTATCACCACATTCAGTAAAAAGAATAAACCTTTTATTCTAAATGACTTTCTTGCCAGATGGAGTCTCGAAAGGTTTAGAATTTTTGAAGTTACTCCGAAAGGAAAAACCAAAAAAATTTTCTAATTCCAGATCGAATACAAATAAATTACTCAACGAAAAGAAAAATCACACTTATATGCAAACTAGTATACATAAATACGAGGTACGCGAAACAATAATAAGATTTTGCTCTAGCTTATCACAATTTTTCTTTTACGGTGTGCCAATGTTTCCACATTTTGGTCAAACGTATTTATAAATCAACTTCAAACACAATTTTTGTCTTAAGAGACCTATGGGAGAATTTAGCAAACATTTTTTCATACAACATGGATATTTTTGACCCGTTTTGGAAAAAGTTGCAGTTAGAGAGTTACAAAAATTTCACAAAAATGGGACTTATGAATAAAGCAATTACTCTTTCTTAAAATTTCAGACCTTCTACTCGATTTCTTTAAATAAATTTAAGTAAATGGTCCAACATTTTTAGAAAAAGCAATTGCTACGTTTTTATTCATAAAGCCCAATATTATACAGGGAAATTTACGGGGGTTTTCGAAAACGAAAAACTTTTGCGGATTGGTTATTATATATTTCATGTTCGTAATAACAAATCAATGATGATGAAGCATCAGTGCTTAGGACATTTTTTGCGAAAAACTTGCAACTTTATAGAAAACGCAAATGCCTTTTTTAAGTACACGTAACGTTAGAAACGAGTATGGGTCTTTTATTTTGGGGTCTCGGGGTGTATCTCTTAAACAGTAGTAACATAAAATAATAAACGTACTTATAAATATGTTCTAGAAAAAGTTTCTAATATGTGGCCAGGATAGTGTACACTTATTCTCATTCCATTACTCACCTAAAATGTACTTGGAACCGAGCTTGTGCAGGCTGCAAAACTGGTAGTAGCAATAGAGCACTGCCGTGCAGCGTACAATCGTCATCAGTATTACATCAGCCGCATTGTATTCGGCTTCCAGGCCATCGCACGACTGACTCCAACCGTGACACGGTCGATGCCTACTAGATGTTGCCGATGATGCGGTTGTGGATGGCGGCACAGACGATGAGGACGACGACGCGGATGAGGTTGCAGTAGAGGCAGCACCCACACCTACACCAACACCCATGCCAGCGACGTCAGGACCAACGCCAACACCGACGCCGCCAGCTGGTTTGTCAACTGTCAGCATGCATGCCGTCAGTGTTAGTAGCGCCACAATCACCTCCCACGGATGGGACGCACAAAATTCACCGTGTGCACGAAATAAACGTCCAATCATTTTGGCGACGAATCTCTGATTTAAGTACAATTTTGGCGACGATGTGCGAAATGTATGGCCTGAATAGAGAATCTTGAAGTTGATGTGCGTTGTTTTTGTTTTTGCTTTTGCTGCAACTTGCAATCACAATGATGTGTTGTAGGTAAATGTAGGGCGTAAACGTCACTGCTGCTTTGTATTTCTGGTATTTTACGTAAATGTCAGCACAATAGTTACAAAAGTACACAAGCACAATAAGTGTATGTAGCAGGTAAATATTAGAGGAGAGTGCTGGCGAGGTAAATCGTCGGAAATAACAAATTATTGCAATGATAAATAAATATGTATTTTAGTTTATGTTGTCAGTCAATCACATCCATTGCCTCTAATGGATTACCAGAAGTTGTTGCATCGTGGAGTGAGTGTGTGTAGGTTTGTATGAATGTATGTATGTATGTGGAGGATTACTTGTCCGTCAGCAAACAATTTCGAGTGCCAATTTGTTTGCTGTTGACGCTTTTCAAGTGCAGGTGACGTTTTGCTAACACTGAGCAAATAATCACAAATCACTGTTTCCTATTTGCTTTTTTTATTTAGTTTTATTTTTATTTGGTTTATTTTGGAAGCAAGCTGCAACAATTTCAAATATATTTGTTGTTACTATTTTGGTAAATGCCAGCCAATTGAGATCTGCAAATAAAAGATAACAAGTTGTTGAATAATAAGAAATATATTTGGATAGCGAAAGCATTTTTGTAAAAATACTACACGCATATACATATACAATGCGGAGCAAAACTGAGTACATGGTGATTTTTCTTAAATATTTACAATGTTTTTCAAGTACTTTTGTTTTTTTTATAAAAACATAGTTCATGCTTTAATTAAAACCACACCTTATACATAATTTACAAATTTTGAACTTTTTAATCAGAAATTTTAGCACAATGCTCGTCCTTAAGTTATTTGTTTTTGTTATTTTTTTTGCCTTATAACAATTATATAAAAAAAACGGCCTCGACCTCAATATAAATTGTTGAATATAATTATTATAAGGCCAAAAAACTAACAAAAACAAATAACTTAAGGACGAGCACACCTAAAAAAAAAAAAAAAGTTAAACATTCTAAAAATAGAATTATTAGCAAAATCCAACAATACCAACAACCACATGATCAAGTGAATTGCAGCGGAATAGCTGCGCTTGATTGTGTTGGCATAACAAAAATGAAAATAGTGGAAAAAAGACGCGATAATTTACAAGGCGTACTTAGCACGGTGCATAGGCAACTGGTTGAGTCAGTGGGATCGTCGGTTCGAATCCTACTGAAAGAAGTCTGATGAGGAAATGTGGTGATTTCCGAAATAGCTATCACTTCTACCATTTTTTTAAATTATTGTTGCTTTTCCACAATAAATTTTCATTAAAAAAAAAAACGGCCTCGAGCTCAATATAAATTGTTGAATATTTTAGCACAATAATAAATGCAATTCTACTTCTTGGACAACGAGAGGGCTTTCGACAATACTGCCTATGGATCTACATATATCAAGGGTATTGGTCCAAAGAGGCTTAGACACTACTACTCTTGGTTGGATCGACGCTATGCTTCGTGAGCGAAAAATTACATCGTTCTTGGACAATACTCAAGTGAAGATCAGAGCCGTGAGAGGCTGCGCACAGGGAGGGGTCCTTTCTCCCTTGCTTTGATCACTTGTGTTGGACGACCTCTTAATCAGACAACATGAGTGTGATTACGATGTTGTGGGGTACGCAAATGATCTGCCAATTATAAATACGGGAAAATTCGGCAGTACTGCCTCGAACGTTACATATGCAGCTCTTCGTGTGGTCTCAAACTGGTGTGCCAATAAGGGCCCCAGAAAAAATCCTCGGAAGGTTGTTCTTGTACCATTTACAAGAAAGTATAAACCAAACCTTGGTTTGGTCACTCTTGGATCGCCAGTGCTTGAACACTCTGAGGAGAGACTTAATTGGAACTACCATCTTTAGAGAACGGTTGCTAAAGCCACACGGGCCATGTGGGCCTGCAGACGACTTTTTGGTAGAACATGGGGATTAAGCTCAAAGCTGATACGAGTGGCTCTACCGTATGATCGTCCGTCCGATTGTGTCTTATGCATCTATGGTATGGTGGCCGACACACTGCAAAAACTGCCATAGTTCGTCTTAACAAACTTCAAAGATTGGCATACCTATCCGTCACTGGATCTATAAGAACGTGCTCAACTGCGGCTCTAGAGTCACCCCTGGGATGGACTCCTCTAAATATTTTTATCCAGGAAACTGCAGCGACGAGGCAGCTGCAACTTCGACTATCTAACGACGGCTTCTACACAAAGAAGCTTCATGCAGGTATTCTGGGGAGGATACCAGGGTTGGAAAATATACGGAATCTCTGATTACATGACTAAGAGGTCTGATGTAGGTATTTTTGGAGCTAGCACCAAACCTTCAATTCCCTTGGTAAATGGCTCACGGTGTTTCAGACTGAAATAGTCGAAATTTTAAACTGCGCAAAATTAAACCTTGAAAAGGGTCTGAAGGGCGCCTTTCTAGTTATCTTTTCGGATAACCAAGCAATGGCTGCCGGGCCCTTTTAAACAGGACTATTAAAAGCAAGCTGGTTAGAGACTACTTTAACACGCTACAAATATTGGGAACTACAAACACGCTAACACTGTGCTGAGTACCAGGCCATTGTGGAATCGAAGAAAACGAGGTCGCCAACGAGTTGGCATGAGAAGAATCGCTAACTGCCTTTTCGGTACCAGAACCATACTATGGTGTCTGTTGGTCCTCTTTGAGGGCCATAATTACTGAGTGGGTACATTCTGAACCCAGTGAGTACTGGGGAGCAGTGGGTGGCCTTAGACAGTCCAGGCTCTTCGGAAACCCTTTTAACAGAAGAGACATTATATTAGAAAATAGAAATGACGTTAGGCTACTTTCTGGGTACCTGACTGGTCACAACCAATTCCGATTCCACTTGCACCGAATAGGTGTGATCACAGAGTCGGAATAGCGGCTCTGCGTCGAGGATGATAAAACTTCTGAGCATATTATCTGTCTCTGTTCGGATTAGGCCAGACAAAGATTGATTTATTTTAAATCTTCAAGAGTCGAAGGAATTCGCCGACCAATGCCCTTTTAAAAGTTAGGGACTCTCTCTTTAAGAGATTCAAAAGATCTTTCAGATCCCGGCATTCATGAAACCTCCCTTTAAAATATTTACTGAGATTATTATTATGATAAAAGAAAACTTCTTTTTGAAAATTTTTAGCGTTATATTATACGAATTTTTTGTCTTTATTGAAAGCTGGATACTATGCTTAAGGCAGAGCTTTGAACTGATTAATTCAATTTGGCTTCGTCTTCAAAAAGAGATATTTCCATCTTTTAAAACGCAGTTTTTAATTGAAAGCGAAAGTGAAACCCTTAAAGAGAGGACGAAGTTATTCAAGAACTTCTAAGGATTGCACTATTAAAACGACTTTAAGTTTGAATACTTTCTTCTGCTAATTTACAGAAAAAAAACTAAAAAGATATATTCTTTTTTTCATTTATTTATGTATGAGAAATTCCATTGCCTACAAGGATTTCTTTAAATATTTTGTACACTTCTAAATAAATATTTTACATAAAAGACGGATTTAATTATGCAGTTATATATGAACTACAGTAATACCGGCGATTAATTTCACCTACTGCAAATCTCCATAACTGAAAATGGCGACAATTGAACGCGATTGCGCGAACATCGACAATGATGCACGGGTTCACCAACCCAAAATGCGTAGCTTATGCCATCACAAGGACACCAGCAGAAACTGGCAATCGAAAACTCAAATCATACCGTGCAACGAACAAAGTGAATGCAACAATGTATTGTAATTGATATACAATAATTCTGTGGTCATAGGCAATAACCGCCTAAGTCGACTTAAGAAAGAATTGAGTTATATATGCTATCGTATTCTGATTCGTATTCCATGTGTATGTGAAATCCTCATCTCGCCAGCTATATAGGCTATTTAAAAAGTTATGGACGAACATATTTTGATTTCCCCATAAGGTTAACATTACAATCCAAATGTTTAAGACGTTTTTTCTCGAATTCAGGTTTCTCGACTTAGGCAGCTATTGCTTATAACCACAGAATTTATCGATCATCGCTTGACATTATTTCATTATAGGGAGCATTATTCACACTTGTGACTTTTTTTTTCAAAAGGTATATGTAGTAGCAAGGAAAACGGTTTACTCGAGCAATAGCGGCTGTGGTTGCTGGCTATCTTCGCTGCCAATTACAAGTGGCTAGCGGCCAAGATGTGCAAGATGTTGAATCAGCTTGGCAAGCGCTATTGTACTGTTAAGCGGCTTGTAAGGCAGATGCGAGTCAGGAAGGTATGCATGAAAGATTGTAACTAGGGAATTTATAAAAAAATGCAAAATTATCAATATGAACTTGAGCTGATTGAGCTTAAAAAATAACAATAGTGGAAGTGAGAACGATAAAAAGCTTCCTATGAAAAGGACAATGTGCAGAGACCAGGGCAGTTAAGTCAAACCGATTATGATTGCTACATCGCAAGCACAAAGCAAGGCGCTTAAGGAATATACTTATATGCATGTACATATGTATAAGCATAATATATGTAAACACGTAAATTGGTGCATTGTAGGATTATATATGTACGTACATACATACATAGATCCATAAAACCATAACTATGTAAGCAAGTATTTGTAAATGCATAAATGAGTTTCTGAATGCAAATATTTTAAGTTTCTAAATAAACCTATTTCGTTGCCCTTAAGTAATGTGCCACATATCTACATAAGTATGTATGTGTCAGGGGTGTTGCGAATATTTGCATTCGCATGATACGAATGTTTTGCGAATGCGAGTGTACATGGGCAGAGAATCCACTCTAATATTGTTGAAATGCCTCTAATAGTTCATTTCCACCAAGGCAGTTTATGACGATTGGAACAAAGACATTACAACTCGAAGGGACTAATTCCTCCTACTAAGTACAAGTAAACGAAAGGAGAAAAGCGAACACTAAGAAATAAACCTCGCCGCTCACCCCATGTTGAAATTCTTGGAACTTATCTGAGCTCTTAACTGCAGTTGAGTATCTGGTGGAAATAGGCTATAAGTCTGTCTAACCAGGTTGCGGACAATAACCGGCTTTAGCTTCAGGCGCTAAACGGTTATGTAGTATATCAAGCAACATTGATGGTCCTTCAACAAGTACTGCTAAAAGTCGTATAAGCTACCTAGAAATAATTTTAGATTCCTCCAGCGAAAGCGAAGGCTAGGATGTAGAATCTAGGGACATTAAAAAATGTGAAATTAAAGCTCAATTGAGGGCTATCTTAAAGAAAAACGAGCTCATCTCGGTCTTCTCCATTGGTGGAAACCCAAACTAAAATAAGACAAATTGACAGATGTGGCCAGCAAATATTTGAGCGCTCCACCCGCCAGCGTTTCAAGTGAGCAATTGTTCAGTGCAGCCGGTCTTATATACGAGCCCCTGAGAAATCGCCTCATGGGACAAAAGGCAGCAAAATTACTTTTTATATCCGAGCGCACTTGTGCACAAGGGTATATTAATTTTGTTCACATAACGGTTGTTTGTAACAGCCAAAACGAAT